ATACTGTGCAACAAAAACCCAAGTTACAGACTTTTGCAAGATGTAATAAACTGCACTAACAGAGCATAGGAGGATTCTTTCTTTTATTATTAACTCCTCTGGATTTTCAAGAAGTGCTGAAGCTCTTTGGAAGCTTACAAAATTAACACTTGAAGTTGTCTTAAAATGTCATCCACAACTAGCACCTTCACTGCTTGGTTTTGACACCTTAGGTTTAACACCAAGGCAGCCTGTACAGAATTTTTGTCCCTGCTCCTTTAATTCAGCTCTAAGGAAGAAAAGTTATTATTTAAAAAATAATTTCTTACTTCACAGTTAAACAGCAACTGCAAGTTTCCTTTTCAGATAAAGTAAAAAAATGAGAGACGTAATAATATAGGAACATATTATAAATTATATGTAAATACATAAAATTATCTATATAATGATATAGGAAACATAATATAAAAACAGGAAACTAAGAGGCTCCTTAGAAAGTATATAATTTTTATTTCATGTATTTCTAAGATAATACCAAGCAGGACGCACTCAAAAATACAGACCTCCAAAACATCATGAAGCAAAAAAAAGGGTGTTTAAAAAAAGACTTAAGTCCCATCCTCCCTAGGCACATGCCCCTTTGAGTTCCTTGCAGACCACCTCTGACAGTCAGAAAAGGGCAAGTGAGACAAACTAATCTGCATTTCTAAGTGCAAATAAAAATAAATCCTTTAAACTCCTGCATATGAAGTCAAGTGCCAAATATCATATTAAAACAAAATAAAATGATCTTTCGGTTGAGCTGGTTAACACAGATACAAAGTTGTTTGTCAAACTGCTAAGCATGTAAAGAACTTTGTCACAGTTTTATGAGCAAGATTCAAGTTGCATATTTATGAACAAAGGGGGTTTTCTACAGAAAGCAGCATGTTTATTTTTTAAAGTGTTTCCACATACACAGTCTCTAAAGGTGATAAAGAACACAATTTAACACTGAACAGAGAACAAAAATCATGCATTTTATTCTCTGAAGCTATTAACTTGCACATTTCAGAGAAAAAAAATAATTTTAGTCGCCATTTTTAGTGGTAGGTTGTAATACTTATGGTCACTCTTGTGATACCTCCTGTGGCAGAGTAAGTAACCCAGACAAGACACTGTATTACGTACCCTACCACAGATCTTATCACAAGCCCACCAAGCTGATGGATTTTAGCACGCATCACACCTTACCGGACAAGTTGCTGTGGAAACAAGTTCTGTACAAAACCCTAAAGTTAATAAAGAACCGGAGCTATGACTTAGTTTCTACACCTAAAACCATGCTCAAAATTCAGCTGTTTGGCCAGATGCTTCGCCACTCAATGGGAGAGCGATACAAGCCCAGACACTTTGCTCCAGCTTAGAAGTCAAATGCGGATGCAATAGATTCCTGGTTCTATTTATGCCTGAAAAAGCCCACCGCCCACAAAAGCCAAACAGACCCAGGAGGTAGATGCTTCTCTGCCTTCAATCACTGGTGGTTAAATACGTAATAGTAAGCTCACACATTGCCAAGTATGCAGTTCAGATCCCTTTATCCTAAGCAGGAAAAAAAAACCCAAAACACTCTTAATAAGCAACCCCAACACCCTGAGCTCATCTCAAGAAAAATGCAAGACATGGTAAAATTCTCTCCAACGCCCAACTCCCTCTTCCCAGTAAAAACATCATTAATCTATGGGCAATTTCAGATACATTTCTTGCTTAAACTGCTTATGCCATACATCACGAAGCGAGGATGCACGATAGCAGTTAAGTATCAAGTATATATAGATTATAGAAGCTATTAATTTCTTTTATAGAGTGTCTTAACATAAACAATTGCTCAGACTGAGCCGAGAGCAGCTGGCCACCAAACTGAACAGAAACAAGAAGCGTGCGTGGGGGGAGGTTAAGCATTTAAGATACGCAGCCATCTGTAGCGTTTGCCTAGGACTGCCCATACATACTTGTAATAACAAGCCACGTTGCAAGAGGAAATCTCCTTTAAAATATAGATACCCAGATATTAAAATACAGATATATTCGAATACTGCATCTGTAGCAGGGTTTGAAGTAAGTATCCTTGCCCTCCGTGTGAGAAATCTAAAGAGAATGCAGAGGAGTGGAAGAAACAAAGAAAGAAATCATGCAGAAGTAAGCGCAGCGGATGAGAGCACTGCTCTCACTCCAAATCCCCAGCTTTGGCAGCTGAGATGACCTCTCAGAAGTTCCAGCTGAAAGAGGGCCTTCGCCAAGCAAGGTAAAATTGCATTTCGTATATTGCTTGAAGCTTTCTGTATCTGCGCAGCTGACTGAAGCCTCACTACTTACTTTTGTTTCATCACCAGTGTTGGAATGAAAGACACTATTAGAAGAATGCTTTTTCTCCATAGGGCATGATGAACGTAAGGCCTGTGAAGCACGTTGGAGAGAGACCGCCATCCTGAGACACGGTTTGGGGAGCACAGGCTGAGGGAGGTATTTCTCAGGTTGCTATGGTCTATCCCAGTGCTATCTTCTAGGAGAAATTATAAGATTAGAACAATATTCCTGTGGGACCTGGATAGTCAAGGGTCAGACGACAATTCCAGGCAAAGCCCAGCACTTTGCGGTAGTTGTTTTAGAGGCTAACACACAGAGGCCTAATAGAAATGTTTTATTTAAAGTAAAAAGTGTGCACAAATAAAGGGAAGGATTACACAACAACGTTCAAGACCATATTCCATATGAAACAGGAAAACAGCAGTGACAATATTAACTAGCAGAGCACCCATAAGATACAAAAAGGAGGTTACTCCACATAAATACATCATGCTTCTGATGCAGACACTTTCTCCAAAAGACAAAGCCTACTGCACTGGACTGTTTACACCCAATGTCCCTTCTCAATGTTTATGACAGTTGCTATATGCTTAACAACGAAAAATAACTGTTAATATCATGGCACTTTGGAGAAAATTAAAAATGGATTTACAGCCATTAAGGAGTTTGTCACTTAACGACATTCTTAATGGTTAGGTACGTAAAAAGTATGTTTTCTGTGACATTATAAAAAAAAAAAAAAGAACTTTTGCTTTAAGCACAAAAGACAGTGTTTTACTCCATTGCTCTTTTGTGATGAATAGCAGAAATGCCCTTCCTTACATAAAGCCATTTTACTCAATACCCCATATGAAATTCAGCCGTTGTAGAGACGAGGCTTTCCTTGTTTGTTTTCAGTAACTTCCAGGGTTAACATTAATTAAGTCCCGTTGTTTGAACTAGTCATGCGGGTGTAGAAGTCAGGCTAAACAGTTAATCACAATTTCAAAACTGCACGTAAGCAGTTCACTTGACATGAACTACACGTGCTGAAGTTATTAGCTGCTCTTTAAAAGTAGGTTTGCTCTGATACTTTACATTTGAAAATACAAAACTTGAGTTTAAGGGAACCTGATTAACAGTGCAGAGGGTCAATGCTTCCCTGAAACTGAGGCCCTTCCAATCACTTCCCAGTTTTGAAAACAGCCCAATACTTGAGTTTCCTATTCACGTTGCAAAGAAAAACATGAACTAAATACCACACCATGACACTACTCCGTGTTTGTGCAATCTCTCCTCTTGAAGCTAACACAAAAGTGAAAAACCATTCACCAGAAGATTTGTGCTATGGATTTAGTGTCCCCATACAAGGATTTTCAAGGAGAGACACTGCCCAAGCAGAAGTCTCACTGAAAGCTTAGATAAAGTTTGCTAATTTGTGCTTACAGACACTTAGATCTGCTTTCAGTAACACTTAGCTTCCCTTACAGCTCTTACTTCTAGAGCACAGTCTTTTCTTCCATGTCTCTTAATCCCTTTTCCCAAAAATAATAATAATAATAAAAAAAAATTGGTACATTTGGCATTTCTTCAGTCTAAGACATTCAAAACAATTTTTATTTCTAACGTTCAAGGAATAATCTGTGCTGTATAATACACTTTTTACTAACGTGAAATGTAAGAATCACAGCTCCCAAAAGTCCTAGTTTGAACTGTTCTTTCAAATTTATTCCAATCGCTTTACTATCAACTTAGAGTCTACTACCAACATTTAAGGTCTTTGATTACAAATCACCATCTGTAAGTGGAGAAGTGAAGGGAGTCATTGTGGACAGCACTTTTTTTTTTTTTCCAGATGTGCTTTTTCCACTGGGAAAGTGGAATGCATTTCCAACAGTATGGCAATAAGATTAAAAAAAGGAAACAAATGCCCTTATCCAGGCCACAGTTGTAACATAATGCAGTTCTGATACAGTTAAGACAGAAAGTGTAAAAGCAATAAATAATAGCATGAGGTTCTATGTCCATCAATATTAGCTGCCCATTACTGCTAAACTACACTCTACAGATTTTAACTTTTTAAAGTATTAATTGAATTCCATCTATTTAAACCAACGCTTTTATAGCATGTACAACCCTCACGGAAAGGGACGGGCTCAGAAAGGCACTCTGTGCATCAAACAGTGCACAATTCCTAGTGTGCAATTTCGGAGCAAAGTCTATCGATTCTAATAGTGAGTTAATCATCTCCTTTTGGGCAAGATCAATATCCCCTACGAAAGCAGCTGTTCTTGACCTATTCAGTTTAAAAATCTGCTCTCCTTGCTGTCATTCAACCTGAAGGGCAATAGCATAGCTCTAACTTCTAAGGAGAACAGGGAAGTCAGGTGTTTAGAGAGAAGAGACTTAAAACTACAGAAGTCATAAGTTCTTATTTGTCTTGCTGGAAAAGTGGAAGTCCTTTAATGTTATTTTATTACATCCTCTAATGCAATTTGTATTCTTAAAGCAAAAATAAAACTTTCCTTAGAACACTGTATTGGCAGATTATACAGCCAGACCCCGCTGTTCAGTCAGGAGCCCCAGAGACCAACTTCTGTATTAAAATTCAAGTTTGGCAAGACTGTTCAGAAAGTTTAACATCTTAAATCTGGCAGTTGAAGGTTCAGCATAACAACTGTCCTGGACGACAATTAATACAAAAAGAAAATTAGTAATTCACACTAGGTGGCAAGGGTAAGATGTTCAGTTACTCATTCTAGGCAAGTGCATCCGAATGAGAGATGTTTATCCATGCAGAAACAGAGTAGCAATTGGCACAGTCCGGAAATGGAGAATTCAGACACATTCCTCAGCTGACATCAAAAGAGGATTTATATATTCAAAGCCTTCAAATTCAGACTGGTCAATCTTCTTCACAATGTCACTATTAAGATTAAAAAACAGTCATTAGTTCAGCAAAATTAAAAAGGTAGCAATATTAACTGATAGTTTGTCTTAAAATTTAGACCTGTACAGTGGATTGCAATTGAGAACATTTCCCTTCTCTCTTTTGTCCCTCTCTATCCTTACAGTTACTGTTGTTTGTTTTTTTCTAGCCCCTATAAAGATAACAAAACACAAAACGACCCAGGAATAGGGACTGGGCTACTCCCATGCACATGTTCTCCCTACAAAGCAATCCACAAGGTCTGCAGTTTTAAAACTTTCCCAAAACAGTCAGTTTTGTAAAAAACTGAAAACATTAGGATGTGATCAATACTTCACCTGCATCAGCAACTTTTCTAAACTTTATTTGTACATTATGCATTTAGAAAGGGATGAAGAAGGAAGCTGGATCTCAGACCTAGTTAAGATGCATAGGTAACACTTGATATTCACTGTTTGTGTTTACATATAATATGAACATTACACAAAACCCTAGAAAAATTCCTAAAATGCAAACAGCAGTGCCCCAGTCAAATTAGAAAGGTCGTTCCCTCCTCATCCCAAGTCAGGGCCTCTCAGGAGTAAGGAATCACAAATCCACTATTAAAATCAAACACATTATCATGCATTTTATCAAGGCTTTTCAGCCAAGATAATCTCACTTGACTACTAACAATTTAAAACACCCAAAACCAAGCCAAACAAAGCATCTTCTCTTTTTGGGAACACTCAAGATAAATTCAACCTTACCCCAACATTCTAGAAACATCATGGCTTAAAGTAATGCAAAAATAAACGACTTGACAAAACAGGTCTTTTCCTTCACACATCATTTCTTGCAGATGATACCACTAAAATGTGTAAAATAGCACTTATTCAACCTTCCCTGAACTCAGATTCTTTACAGCAACTTGCCCACTGCTGTTGATTTTTACATCATGCCAGAGTACAACACTTAATCCAGCCATACTAAGTCTACCACGAGGACAAAGAACAGAATTTTCCCCAAACTAACACAAGAAAACGTTATTTACTGCTTTATGTATACTCTGTGCTACAACTACAGCTATTAAACGAAGTTTTAAACTCTTTCACTGACTTATCAGAACTTCTTAAAATTCTCATGTTACTTACTCATCATCTGGAGTGAGCTGCACAGGTTCATTGGTGAATTGGGAATCAAAGTTATCCAGACCAAATTCTCCAGATATATTTGGTTTAAATGGAGGAACCACTTGCTTTTGCTCCATCTAAGAATAAATGCACTTAGTCACACCAAGAATGAATTACAAGCCTTAAACAGGGCTGGAAGTTACCATTAAGTTTCTTTTGCATACTTCCTATACTCATTCTGTTAATCTACTGTACTTACTGAGTGTGAAAAGGTTAAAAGATTCTATATTGTCATTATGGTACCTCAGAAGTTAGGAGCTTAATGTTTTTTAAGTTTTTACATCATGTCTCACGCTCAAAACAAGTTGTCCAGCCATCACTGTATGCAAAGAAAATAAGCCAAGCCAGTGGGCATTTACATACCAGATCCCAATCAACATTGCGAAAGAAGGGATGTCCTTGGATATCTGCAAATCCTGTTTGGGGATGGCAGCCTAAACGTTCCTTTGGATCCTGTGCAAGGAAGAAAATATTTCTAAAATGAGTGCCATGGCCTACACATGAATAAAACACAAATCTTAAATTCTGTGAGAAATGAAACACCAGTTACACAGGACACTGAAGAACTAAAACGGCATTGTTTATTTTTGAAACTTCCAATTTATTGTCTGAAATAGGCATGAATATATGGAAGTCTTTGAGAGAACTTTATATAATAAACAATCATGTCATCTTTCTTCATTTTTATTCAGACCTGTTTAAACATACCATGTGTTTCAAAGCAAACTTGGTCAGATTACAAGTGAATTTGACTCTTCCTCTCACCTGCCCCTCCCCAAGCAGACTGACCATGCCAGGCAATCCCACTGGGGCAGTAACTGCAGGTTACTGATAAATACAGTGGAAATAAGGTTATTTTAACAAGACAAATCCATCTCCATATACGTGTATGCACACACCACCAAGGAGTTGTAACAGAGGCAGTGTTCTCGAATAGTATTACTGACTTAGAATAATTTAAAAATCTGTTTTCTCTTGTACCTCTTTCTCCTCACTCATCTAACGCTCACGAAATAAAGGCCAGCATGTGCTCGGATCAGTCCACTACCACACATGCACCTTGTGACTCTCAGGCTAGTAGCTACCAGCAAACAGTGAGTGCATACTGCCTCTGCGTTTCCCCTCCAAGTCATCAGCAGTTGTCAAGAGTGATGTGCTAAGCTGTTTCTCTTAAAGAGCCAAAATAAATCTGGTAAGTTTTTCCAATTCCCCAAGTTAAAGAAATCACTCCGAGCATTTCTAAGTTTTTCAATTTGAAATTTACTCATGATCCCGGCCTGACAATCTGGAGCTTCAGATTTTAAGACAAATATCTAGAATAGATCCCTCAGCTCCACTGAAATTCTGCTTTAGGCTCACACCTTTTCCACCCTATATAGCAGATGAAGTATGTCTGCAACATATTGATTAGTCAACAGGTTTAAAAAAACCACAAACCAGCTGCTTTTGAGAAGTCTTACATAGTCCTCTTTAATTCTTACCTTATTAAGGAAACTCTTTAGAACACCTGCTGCTTTAACAGAAAGGGATCGGGGAATTCGGATCTGTTTTTCCAAAATTACTGCAAGAAAACAAGGTTTGTGTCAGCCTTTGCATCTTTAAAGTTAGATTAAAGGTAGGTAGAAACAAAGCACTAAAGCGTAGGAACTCTCATGGTACTTACCTTGGAAAAGATAATCTTCTGTGTTCTGATCAGGATTGTCAGAACTCCCAACAATATCAAACGGTGACCGGCCCGCCATCATTTCAAACATAAGTACACCGAGCGCCCACCAGTCTACACTGAAGCCTAGAATTCAGAGGAGGAAACACCACTGAAGATGTTTTGGAACAAAAATACCAACACTTTCATGCCTAAAGACAGACGTGTTTTGAGAAGAAAGAGTTTAAAACTTTAAGTATTGCCAGTCTTTCTGATTGTCTGAATAAAGGAGAGGTAACAATTGTACTAGACATTACTTGGTTTATCATGAGCACCATGGGAGGGGATGCTATAATGTCCTGGTTCCAGCTGGGACAGAGTTAGTTTTTCTTTTTAGCAGCTAGAAGAGCTCTGTGTTTTGGTTTTAGTCTGGAATTTGTTATGAGAAGAATGTTGGTAGCACACTGATGTTTATAGTTAGTACTGAAATCTCAAGGACTTTTCAGCTTCTCCTGTTCTGCCAGTGTGCAGGAGCGCAACAGGCTGGGGGGGACCACAGCAGGGACAAAAGGTCCACAACTTCCCTTATGATTTGAATTTAGGAGTAGGATTGAGGGCTAAATTGGCCAATGAAGTATTCCGTATCACGCAACATCATGACCAGTATAGAGATGAGGGCTGACCAGAAAGAAGGGCTCTTGCTCTTCGGGGACTCTCACTCTCGGAGTGCTCTCTTGCTCTCTCATTCTCTTTTCAGGCCTCTCACTT